ACTAACCTGTGAAGTTGGCGCCTTGATGCAGGTACCACGAAGATGGAGCTGGAGCGATGGCGCCACAGGTAAGTAACACTGGCCTCCGCCAGTCTCTCTCCCACTCTGCGATCTACCACCTACCAGCGCCCAGCGCTGAAGACTACAGCTACAGCTATGGCGCCCAGCGCCGAAGACTACAGCTAGCGCTACCACTACTACCTAGCGCTGAAGACTACTGCAGAGCTCCTCCTGAGTGCTGCGGCCGATATCCTGAAGACTACCTCGTGCCTACTGAACTACCTACCCGTGAAGTGCATGGGAACTTCCTATGTACTACGGGTGTGCCTCCTGAGCCTGCCGAAGGGAGGCAGGGGCTGCAGCTGCAGCTCCTGCTCAACTCGTGAGGAACAGGCTATTTCTGGCCTGTTCCGCATCCCTGTTTACGTGCCTGAGTCTTAGGGGGCAGGTCGAAACAAGGAGGGCCTGAAAATGGACCTCCGTTTCAGGCTGAAAACTCTGGGTCTGAAAAGACCCAGAAATAGGCTGAAACGGGGTAGGGCCTGCAGGCCCTCGTTTTTCAGCATCCAGGCTGAAACGAACGGGGCCTGTTAGCCCTAAGTTTTAGGCTTTTAGGCTGAATTTCCGGGACGGGCCCTGCAGGGCCCATGTGGCCACGCAGTATGCCACATCTAGGGATCGAGCCCTGCAAAGGTGAAAACCGTTTCGATTCACAACAAATAATAGTAATCATATTGCATGGCTGAACCAGAATTAATGTCTGAATCCGTCTTCTACAGCAGGTACAACATGAGGTCCACCATAGCCATGGCCACCCTTCTCCTTCCTCTTCCTGAAGGCCAAGGCTATGGCGGACTGCTAGGGCCTTGGCCCGATGTGCAAAAGACAACTCAAAGCAGTTATGGCTGCTCTAGCTCAGGCTGCCATGCCTGACTCTGCCTTGAAGCTTCTTGGTTAGCTCTACCCCAACTAGGGCCTTCCAGATGCAGCGCGCACCAAGGTGATGAAGATGGCTTCCACCATAGCCAGGTAAGTACCTCTGGCACTCCCCCTTCCTAGTCCTTGTCGTCCTCCTCTTCCAGCCCGTGCTCCTCCACCATAGCCGAGGTGGGGAGCTGGGCGCTCCTTCTTCCCCAGCAGCGCTGCTCCAGCCAGCTCTCCGACCAGTGTGTCGCCCAACTTGCACACCGAAAATGAGGATGAGCACTTCACTCCTCCTGGAGATATGGCGGCCTTCTTGCCTCTTGGGCGGTGACTTCCTAGGCCGTGCAGCCTCCAAGAAGCCAGTACCTCCTCCCTTTCGGAGGGAAACATCATTGCAGACTCTGATATTGCCAGTACAGGCCCTAGGCTCAGACTGGTTGGACTGGTACCCGCCTAGATCTAGCCTACAACTACTGGGCCCCTAAGAATGCCAACTTTTGTCTTCGTCTGCTCGGCCTCGAGCACCCGGCACATCTACCTCTACTTGGTGTGGTACCGGCCTACCTGCTACTTGAGTGTTTTTCCGCTGCTCTAGGTGTCACGGGCCTCTTTCCCCGCCACTGGAGCGTTTTCCTTGCTGCAACCCTCAATGTCACGGCCACAGGTAAGTACCGGCCCCTCTGCAATCAGACTTGTCTTCAACTTGACTTTCGACATGCATACATGCAGGTGCCGATGGCAGAACAACTTCCTCGAAGTAGGATCAGCAACAAGAGTGAGATGGCGCTGGGCGCCCACACAGAAAACTCGGAGTTATGGCCTTCAGCCAGGGACAGCTCAAGTCAACTTGTCACATCTTGTTGTTATGGCGTCTTAGCGCCACTCTGAAATTCCCACCTGCACACTGTATCCACCATCAGACTCGCTCCATTCACTCACACACATGTACAAACGTACTAGGATCTACCCTGAGTGTCCACGCATGCACACACACACACATATCCTATCTGCTACACTGGCGGCTATGGCCGTCGTCGTCTCCCTCCTACTAGCAGCTATGGCTGCTCGCCCGCTTCCACCTTCGGGCACTGGCTGACCACCGGCGAACTTCAACGCACAAGTCACTTGGACAGTGCTTCCACGCAGCTCACAGGCGAATGAAAAATCAATGGCTGGTCGCTGCCTCTTTATTTATACTGTTTCGTTAGGTCGTCTGGCCCTGCCTGATGTCCCAGGCCCATAGGATGTGCAGTCCCACTTGGTACTTGCTGACTAGACTAGGACTTGGACTGTACTTTGCTGACTAGACTAGGACTGGGACTGTCCCTACATATATAACTATTGCTAATTTAGGCCTGTGACAAGCAGATGATCGGGGCCCTAAGATTTTACACTCCGCGACGGTCCCGATCGTCTGCTGATCGTTTGCTCTTAGAAGTTGAACCGTCGTGGCTCTGCGCCAGGGCCGGTACCGATCCCGTGGCCAGTGCCAGTACCACGCGCTGTACCGCGCCCACGCGCCACCGCCTGTACCGAAGCGTGTTACCGGCCCTACCGCACGCGGTACCGGGGTTACGTGTGACGCGCTACCGCTACAGCTCTGCTACAACGTATAGTAACTAATTTTTTGGGCACGCGCACTGCCGAATTGAGGGCAGGTCTACCGGACGGCGGTTTGTTATGGACAGTCGCCGAGTTAGAGTCGACGCCGGCGCTTCTGTATGCTAGAAGTTGTTTTCGACACTCTAAGCTACTCGACGGCATTCTGTGCTACTCTAAGCTACTCTAAGCTACTCTAAGCTCTACTCTACCCGTTTTACACACACACACACACACACACACACACACACACACACACACACACACACACACACACACACACACATGCACACAC